AGGAGGCGGAAAGCCGGGATCGGAAAGGAGTATATGTTATAAGACGATAGAGATATATTCGGAAAGATAGTAAACTGCGATATTCTATCGCGTCGCCAGTTCTTCCGCTTAATAGGCCGTTTAGCTATCCGAGGATATTACGCCGTGGAGAATCCGGGCGGGGAGCTATAGCCTTCTATAATATCCTCCGGAAGTCTAAGGGATACTTAGAGTCTTAGTCGGGGATATCGGATATAGCGGTTATATACTATAGTTAGTAGATAGGTAAAAGGGTCTTAGTAAACTTATCGGTCACGGTTAAAGGCGAGTCTACCGCCGGAAAGCCCTCTCTCTAATAAGGAGGATAAGCCGGGGGAATATCGGGTAAATCCGACAAAGGCTAAAGGTATACTATAGGATATATAGCCTTTCGCTAGTTCTACGCCTTTCCTTTTAGGGTTATAGCGCCGCTAGCCTCGGGTATCTTAATATATTAACGGCTAATTAAATAATAGCGAGCGGGGTAGCTTACTCGTAAAAAAGGGGGAAAGGAAATAAAGGAGAAGAAAAAAAAGATATTCTCCGCGAAACACGGGTAACTAAGAGATCGCGGTAAGGGGAGGTCGGCTCCCTTATATTCCGCGGGAAAAGGAAAAGAATAGGGGGAATTATCGAGCGCTATTCCTACGCTTAATTAGTATTAGAGCGCCCTGTGGTTCTACGGAGGACGCTAGTATACGGGATAGTATAGTCGTTCTTCTACGCCCTTAGGCGATCGTTAAGACTATTATCGCTAGTGATTATTAGGAAGGTTATCGCGGTGTCGGAGCTCGGGTTCCACGGCTAGTAGTTATTATGAAGGTAGGTAACGATCCACGGTATATAACTAAAGGATAGTGGTTCCCTTTACTACTCCACGCCTAGACTTAGTAAAGGGGAGGCGTCTTCGCCTAGCGCGCCTTATATCTATTTAGTCTTAGCACACGAAGTCCGCGCCGTTAAGGGCGGATACGCCGGGCACGCTAGCGTTCGCTAGTAAACTATATACCTATTTAGTCTTAGTATATATAGTCTACGCCGGGCAGCGGTACGCGAACCTTACCCGTAAGCTTAGTTACTACTATTTAATATGCCCTAACTAGGTATATATCTAGCTAGCTAGTACTATAGGACCTAGGAGCCAGGACTTCTAAGGAGTGACCTTAGGATGCCGTAAATAGTAGTAAAATAAGATATCTTCTCTAAACTAAGGGGGCGCGCGCCCCCGGGACTTAAGTATCCACGGGGAAACCCCGTAGAATCCTCGGCTTCTACGTATAGAAACCCGGGGGATTCCCCGGTATTTACTAATTATACTCTAGGGAAGCTATAGTATACCCTAAAGATTCCTATAGTATACCCCGTGGGTGCTATAGTATAAGCTATAGTACGCCCGTGGTATGCCCTGGTATTCCCGGTAGAATATAGGGCGTATTAGTGGGTCTACCCTTATTATTTCCTAATGCCCGAGGCATATACCTACCGCTAAGGCTTATTCCTACCCCTGAGGCTTATACTATTACGATACCCCCCCCCTAGTTAGAGCGGGTCCACTTTTCTAGGCTAACTAGCTAATTAGAGGCCTCGGTTTAAAACCGAATAGCTCTTAATCCTTTCTATTGTGAAAATAGTCTATGATAGAAATAGTCCTTAAAAAGGCTCTTAAACCGATCTTCTTAATTATTTAATTCGTTCTATTTTATCTTAATCCCCGGCTTCTAATTAGTCCAATTAGGTTAATCGCCGCCCGTTTAATCCTATCGCAGGGACGCTCTAAAGGAGCCCCTATAATAATACTAACGTATTTAAATCCACCCCCTATAGGCGTAGCTATTAGTTATATCTCCCGCGGGCGTAGCCATTAATAGATATCTTTTAATGGTATCTCCGTAGTAATAGCGGTGCCGAGGGTATCTCTACAGTAATAGCAGTGCTAATAGTTCCGTAGTAATAGCGGTAGCGAGGGTATCTCTGCAGTAATAGTAGTGCCGATAGTATCTTCTATAGTAATAGTAATACCGATATAATAAGAAGATCTCTGTATAAGGTCCCGCAGTAATAGCGGTTAGTTCGCAGTAATAGCGATAATATCTTTATAGTAATAGTAATACTAGGGTTCGTTCCACTAAAGCGATAGATTAGATATCCCTTATAGACTTAAATAGCACTTTAAGGTCCTATACGAGGTCCCTAATTAATAGCTTGTTATTATTAATCCTCTACCTATTCGTTACCACATAGATATAATACTATTCCCGAGTAACGGGATATATTACGGTAAGGGTATCTTATACCTAATAGTCTATAGAAGCTATCTCGATAACCCTAGCATATTAGCATCCTATCAGGGTAGCCTTCTAATTAGTAATCTATCTATCTATATCCCTAGGGATAGTTTTTATCGGCGTTTTAATAAGCTAACGATATTAAGGTAGAGCCTTACGGCGTTAATGTATAGGCGTAGGAGCTATATACTTATAGAGGTTAGTAATCCACGCCCTCGCGTTATTTACTTAGTCTTTTAGTAACGCTCTAAGGGTATCGCTAAAAGGGGTGTAGATCGTGTCTAGGATATAGGAGCATAGGTTATTAATTTCTTATTACTAACTATTATAGTCGGCCTTTTCTTCGTGATATACGCGACGGTTTTAAAGATATCGCGTTCTTCCTTAATTAGAGAGGTCGTCTATTAACTTTGGAACCTTAACGCTACTCGCGGCTTCGTACTTATATATATTAGGTAGCGTGGGCTTAAGTAGTAGGGAGGCTTTTATTTCGTTATTATTTAGTTAAGGATTAAGATAATCGTTTTAAAGAGAGAAGAACTTCCCGTGGATACTACGTTCCTATATAATCCAGTCCTTCTAGGTGGTTAGGATCTATTAATCGTAATAAATATTAAAGGATATCTTCTATTACTTAAGCGAAGAGGTTATCCTAATTAGATTAATCCTAGTCGATTAAGTGCTTATAACGTGGTTGCTTTTATAGTGGAAGGGTAAAAAGAATAGCTTAAAGGTATAGAAGATATTAAAGATATTTAGTGGCTTCAAGCGTTGTAAACCGGGCTTATAACTATCGCACGTTAAATTTACTCTTCTAACTCTTCTGACTTAGGGGAAATCTTCGCGTGTATATATTATGCTAAGTTATAACGTGTGCGAGACCGTTTGCCATATTTGTATAAGGGGTAGTACTCCTCCGGAAGTACTGCTTTATTTAGACCCTATCCGGTATTTTATCGTGGGTCCACCCTTATCATTTCCTGATCCCCGAGGCCTATGCCCACCTCTAAGGCTCGTGTCTACCCCCGAGGCTCGTGCTAATACGATAGGAGTTCGGCTAGCTAGTTCTTTACGTCGGTATCGGCTAAGTAGGTTAAGGATATCTTAATTAGAGATATCTTTAAGGGGATCGGCCTCTCCGACTTTAGGATTATATAGCTTTATTATAATCTAATAAGGCCGAATACCGCTATTCTATATAGTAATAACCTTATCTTTACGTGTTACTACCTAGGATATTCGGAACGAGAGACAAGAGGATACCTAAAGAAAGCCGTGGTTATAAATACAGGCCTACGTGCTCTTAATAGGTTAGATAACCTACCGCCTATCCTTTCCTTTAATAGATATACGAAAAGGGTAGTTTATTATCTAGGAGCTTGTCTTCCAGCGTTTAGAGGTATAGGTATCGGAGACGTTAACGGTTTATAAAGCTCGACCTTTCCCGTAGCGATATATAATACGTATAGCTTTACCTCTACGAGGATACTATTCGGCGATAATAAGGCTATATCTATTCGAGTAGGCGTAAGAACGGATAGCGGTATCTGCCTCTTATCTAGATATAAAAACTAGGTTAAAGGGAGGCGGGGGGCCGTAGGAGCGTTTATTAGGATCCGGATCTATGGTTAATAGAGTTATTAATAGAGGGAGCTTAATAGTTATTCATAGAGGGAGCTTAATAGTTATTCATAGAGGGAGCTAAAGAGAGGAAGGTATAACGTAGGGCCTGTAATTAAGGATATTAGCTATACATAAAATATCACTGCTTATATCTTTATAGCCAGGACCCCGGTAAATATAGGTAGTTTATATATAAAAGAACATACCTCTGCATTTATATATTTTACCTGCTAGATATCCAAACATACCTGCTATTTAGCCATTCCCTATTATTATTATTATTATTATTATTATTATTATTATTATTATTATTATTATTATTATTATTATTATTATTATTATTATTATTATTATTATTATTA